ATCTTCATCTTCACTTACTTTAATATATTCAAACAAATCACCGTTATAATTACCACCCTTAGCCATGGCGGTCTTTAATTAAATTATTAGGTATTCAAAATACAGGATATTAATATGTATTCTTTTCACGACTTGTAAAATGAGCGAGTTGAGCGACGCATGCATCAAAAGCAAGCAATAGCAAAGTTTCGTGATTATTTTCCTCTATGGTTTAGTGTAGTGAATATGTGATGAGGTGATTGATTTGATCTACTATTGCTCTCGCTCTGTACTCTATTGTCTACTCTATACCTATCGATATTGTCGATGGGTAATTTAACAAGGTAACCATAGACATATTTTCTTCCTTTATTATGGCAACCGAGTCTCGACTTCGACTCTATAATATAGTGAGATTTTATGATTTTATCATGATTTTACTGCCAGTGTCAACCATCGACTAAACTCCGAAAATAGTAAAAGGATGGTCTCTGTTACATAATAATATGTCAAATTGTCATTCCCAATGCCTTTTCACACTACCCTGGTATTTTAGTCGAGTAGCAAATATTCAGTAGTCCTCTCTCGCTTCTGTCCCAAAATTGAAGTGAGAGAGAACTACTAAATATTCGCAACTCGACTAAATTACTAGCGTCGTGCGAACAAGGAATAAGATCGTTAAGATTTGATGGTAACTATCGATGTCTCGGGGAGGCGGCGAACCTCCTTGCCGGATTACCGCCGAGGCGAAGGTGCTTGCGCGCGTGTATCGTCTATGGGCGGAGGCACATCGCCGGGGCGAAACTTTGCTGCCGCGCCAGATAAGAGCGTGGCGGAATGGCAGCAACGACTGTCGCAACCGAGGGCTGGACTCGCCTTTGGACCCAGCCATCGCGAAGGACACTCCGGGCGCCGGGGACCGCGGGACGATCTCCGGTCACCGTAAGCGCGGGCCTGCGGACGGCGAGCATGGCTTGCTCGTCACCCGACCAGAACCAGACCCAAGCGTATGGAGCGTCGCGTTCCGCGCGCATCAAACCACCACGGATGGGGCCCAACAGGGCTGATGCCGATACGGAGTCGCGGAAAACCTAACGGGTTACCGGGGTTCTGGCTCGAAGTGCAGGAGTAGGAACGGGGTGGTTTTTAATCAATAAGAGTCTCTCACACCCTCCCGCCTCACTCAAGCGGGAGAAGTTATTCGATGATTTTCCCCCATTAAAAAAAACTATCGATGTCTCTTATTTATTGATTCTTATGTAACAAGGGACTGACTGGTTCTTATGTACTGGGACCGCACGATCGGTACTACTAAACTAAACTCTGAACTTTATAGCATAGACTACTTAGCTGTCACAAATATTATTTACGGACTGTCGGACTATAATAACCACAGACTCTTTTATTGACTACTATTATATTGCAAAACCACAGATGGGGCCCAATAGGGCCGATGCCGATTCGGAGTCGCGGAGAACCTAACGGGTAACCGGGGCTCCGGCTCGACGTGCAGGAGAAGGAACGGGGTGGTTTTTAGTCAGTAAGAGTCTGACACTCCCTTCCGCCACACCCAGGCGGGAGCAGTCATTCGATGATTTTCACACCATAAAAAAAAATATTGCAAAATGATATATTATGTTCACCAGATTGTGCTATTGTAGCGTTAGGTTTAATTATAATAATTATCTTTATTTATTTAAAAAAATATTGCCCACACTAAAATTTTCTTTTGTATTATGGGTGCCTTTCAAACATAATATAAATTCACATACTATATGACACGCACACCCAGAACAACAATTCGTGAATCTTAGTTCACACAAAGAGTTGTTCCGGACTGAGCTGGTCATTGTATGTATTATGTATTTCATAGCATGGTTAGGTACTACTGAGCTATGCTGGCTGGTAGTTATGTACAGATGCCCCTTCAGATTACCTAATAGGTAACTATCTACCTACTTACCTACTTTCAGGTACAGTCCCACAACATACCGTTTATGATTTTTTTATATTTGCACTATAGCGTCTATGCGATATCTAAGCTTAGCTATACCTACACAAACTTAGGTGTGTACACAACTTGTACATTTTTATTGGTCTATAGGTACTAATTTTTACACACGGCTTTGCCTGCGTAAATTAATCTGTATGGTATTGGTTGTACCTACCATTGTATGATAGGAATTGTATTATATTAGGTACCAACTTATCATCTTTCATTTTATCGTAATTAGAATCATTTTATGAAACAGTATCTAATAGTATGAGCAGGTAAGTTAATTTCCAAGTCAGATTATACTGTTTACAGTTCATTTATGAAGAACACTAATTTTGTTGTTCCCGTTTTAATATTTGCTTGTCCTTGAACTATAACTTTTATCTCATTGTCAGACTAGTGGCCTGAGTGCCTAAGCTTAATATGTCATGATTTACATAACATCGAAGGTAGTGACCACACTAAATATACATAAAGCGACAAAACCAGAACCAAGTGTCGTGGTCCCGTCGCTACCAGCTCACCTTGAATCTTGACTTTTACATTTGCTAATTTTAAAACGTTGAATTCCTATATCCGTGTTTAATGATTGTCTAAAATTCTAAATTGCTAATAATATTATACGAATGAAATGTTCGAATATTATTTACAAAATTAAATTAGATAGTTTCTGCCTGAACATACTACTTACCTATCTATCAGTAATTATATTTAGGTATATAAAAAAGGTCCTGACTAACGTTTTCTTTTACTTTTTGGTAGGCATACCAAAATGTTTTATGAATTATGAATTAAAACACCACAAGAGTATATTAAGTACCAATACACCACTGCATGACACTTCCTGATCCCGACATTGAATATTCGAATCCGTATTCCGGAGTCGCGTTTAACTATTTGGGCAATTATGACAACTTGATTTAACTTAGTCACAAAGAAAGTCATAAAGAGGAGACAATCCAAATAAAAGTACAGGGCATGTAGTTGTGTAGTATGATATTGGTTCTAAGTATAGATATTGTGATGCAGCACACGTATTAAAAATCAATGTGGTTTAAAAGGAAAATACAACATAATATGCAAATAATTGTACCTTTGACAAATACAATACAGGAATCTAGAAATATGACTGACCAATATAGGTATAGTTCTTTCGAGGATTGTAAAGTCATGCACCCTGTCCCTGAGCCTTAGGTATGCATAGATACTTATACTTACCTAATTACAAGTTTTTATATAAACCATTCGGTCAGACAGAAAAGGCAAGGATAACGTGAAATAAATATAGTGTATTAATTTCACGATTTGATTTTTGGAATGAAATATATTTTTTATCAATAATTACTGCTTTTATTTTTTATTTTCCTGTTCCCTTTTTTTTCTGAACTAACTGTACGTATCCTTAATCATAAAAAATAATTGGTTATTCCCACTAAAACAAATGATACCAAATTATGTGTTCAGTCCATTTTTATTAGATGCCTAACGGGGGGTGGGGTGTAAAAAAATTGGCCATTACGACTCCTGGCAACATTCGCAATCATAATCTGTATGCTTTTCTGAGTTCAACTTCAAACCCGTACACCAATTAATGCGGTCCTCACATTTTGTATGGGTACTCAACTCCACCCAGCGCCTGGACTACTAGGTAGGTAAGTAGGTAGGTACTTAGGTTAGGTAGGTAGTAAAGAATGGGAGTAGTAGTGACTTCAATGCTGGATACTTTTTACCAGACGCGAAAATCGTCCATCCATATACATCCTCGTTATTTTAGCTGACAAACTAAAAACTGAGAACAGACAAACTGAGTTTCTTGCTCGTTCTTCTCCATTCGAATTTACATTTTGGAATGAGCACCTAGCTTCACTGACGGAGTGACTGACAGACTACCTATTATTTATTTTGTATTTGTTGACGTTTCAAAAGTATCAAATTATGGTTTAATTTAAATAAATGCTAACCTACTGCAATTTTGTACATTGAATGTGAGACACAAATGAAACAAGATGATAAATGCAATAAATATCGTTAATATTTTATACTAACTTCTGCCAGCGACTTCGCACGCGATCCCAGGGATAAAATGCTTAGGTACTACTTCAGACCATCTCCCTCGGTTCAGGCTAATTTCAACCATCGGCCCTACAGTTACAGTACAGCGTAAAGTCCACTGCGGGCAACCTAACATCGACAACTACAGTCGAGAGCCGCAGTTTGTTTTTTTGTGTATATACTTTTTCGGGATAAATAGCACCCGTTGTTTATACCATGATATTAAAGTATAATGATACCAAGTTTCATCGTAATCGGACTGGTAGTTTTTGCGTGATGCGTGAACATACAGACAGAAAGACTAAAATTTTACTGATTGCATTTTTGGCATTAGTATCGATCACTAATCACCCCCTGATAGTTGTTTTGGAAATATATTTCATGTACAGAATTGACCATTCTACAGATTTACGGCCGTTCCCAATATTCTATCTATCCCTTGTTTTGCCCTACTGGAGATAGAAAAATCTATCTATCTTTAAATTTGCCGTCTCAATAAACTTACTGGCGATAGGCAAACTAATCTATGGTTGTCATTACCTGTGGGAGGACGGATAGGTTATCTACAGATTGCTTTTACTATGAAATTGACAGTTCATGCGTCCCAATAATAACAAAGGTGCTATCTGTCAGTGACTTTGGTTATCCCTAGTAGGCTTTAGCTCTATCGCAGGATTTTGAGGGATAGGAGTATAGTTATCAGTGAAGATCAGTATATATATCTTTTCTATTTCTTAAAAATACATCAGATTTAAACAAAAAATCATTTCGGACTCCAGTTCAAGTAGTAGTTCAAGTGCTATTGATATTTTGAAACAAATAAGGAACTGGGAATCTGACGAGGACGATGTGGTTACCACAACACGACCATATCAAGAGCGTGTTAATTACATGTACAGATATGACGATTACGAGTTTGTGTATAGATTTAGGCTAAGAAGACTAAATTAGAGAATTTTATACTTGTCCGTTATTCATACCTACATCTTTATTTTAATTAAGTGTTCCAGTGGACGAGAAATGAGATAAACATTGAATGTGCAAAATGCATAGTGTAATAAAAAGATGGTTTAGAATAAACTGTTTTATTTTATTTAATTATATGAATTATTATTGGGTTGTTTCTCCTTCTCCAGTATATCTAGCTAGAGTTTCCGTTTCTTTAATGCATGTATTTCTTTTCGATCTGTTATTGACTCATATCATCTGCATCAGCTCGTCTTTTCTGTTTTCCTAGAAAAATATTATTTATAATTATAATATTATTTATAGTGTATTATTCCATTTTGCTCCTCACCATATGAAAGTTTTATAACCAAGCAGTATTAAAAAGTAAATAGTCATAACCAATACCAAACCCCAAAAATGAAATATACAAGAAACTATCTGTGATACCTAATCCTCCAAGTCGCATCCTTGAGCTGGTTATTGCTGGCATTTGTGACTTTGCTGAACATCAATGGATTTGCCTCCACCAAAACAAACAAACTCAAGTATAGGTAGATTAAAATCATTGCCATTTTAAATTTCCGTGATTTAAAATCCACAAAATTGACTGGATTCCGAAATGTCACGGAATAAACTTTCGATCTCGTCGTCAAAAAAGAAACCGGTTGGTTTGGATCATCAGACAACTTACTATTAAATAATTTGCCAGTTCGCGTACCAACTTACTTAATTTTACGTAATTATTGATTAGGCAGTCTTGTAATAAATAATTGACTGCTAGTTAACGGGCAAACTAGCGTAGGTAATTACGAGATTTTATATAAAATGCTCCACAGCTATTTTATTATTCTTAAGACTGTAACATGCCATAATAAATAAAAGGTCAAAGACCAGTTTCGCAACATTTCTCTGTTAGGAACAAAGAGTTGCAGGCCCCTTCACCGCGGGCGCGGCGCGCGTACCGATCTGCAGGAAGCCTGTCCAAGGCGAACGCTCGGAACACCATTCCCTTATTTATAATGTAAATATCCATAGTCATTACAATTATTGTCACCAGCCTCCAAAAGTATCTAGGTACATATTCTTTTTCTTAAAGGCCGGCGACGCAAATGTGTTTTCTCTGGTGTTGCAAGTATTTATGGGCGGCGCGGCGCTGATCGGTCGCAATCAAGTGATCCGGCTAGATTTGCCTGCTACTTCATAGAAAATATACGTAATTAAAAAAAAATCCTAATAATTTCAGCCATTCATCAAAGGTTCATAAATAGGATAAAATACATATAATCGGAACTGCACGATTGAATCCTTTTTTCGAGGTCATATCGAACTGCTTACTATGCAGTGTGCGTCAGATGGACCGTGGAATTTCGCCGCTAGGTACCTACCTACTGCGGTCGACTTGGGGCCACTGACACCACGATTGCATTGCTTTTTTTTAGGATACACCGGAGGAACTTTATTTAACTCTTCTCTAAATAAAAATGAATTATAATATTTATTACGCTAAATGCTATGCTTGGGCGAAAACAAGGGACCCAAAATATTTGAAAATGTTCTTAGATAGGGACTCCAATATGTCAGTACTTGTTTAAACAGCTTTGATACAAATAGTGATGTATTTCTAAAAAATAGTACGTAAGTACTTACTTATGACAATATATATCTTTATAGTCTATATCTACACAATTGCATCAATCATTCGCATAATGTAAATGTGCAGACAAATATGATAGTGATAATATGTATGATGTATGAGTGGATTAAGGATTAATAAAATCGTATACAGGTACTATTATACTATAAAGCGCACAAAGAAACCGTAAAAGCGTAGAAGAGTTTGTTTGTTTCTTTGTTTGAACGCGCTAATCTCAGGAATTACTGGTCCGATTTGAAAAATTATTTTTGTGTTGGATGGTCCATTTATCGAGGAAGGCTAAAGGCTATAAAACATCACGCTACGATTAATAGGCGCCGAGCAGAGTGTGTGATTCCGAGTGGAAGTAGCTCAAAGACAAAGTCAAATTCATTTATTTCAATTAGACCAGGAAGGCACTTTTGAACGTCAGCAATAGAAATTTAAAAGTGAAGCTATTTGCTCATTCCGACACTTTCTCAAATAACTGTAGGTTTTTCCTAACATACATGATGTTTCCATAGATAAATTGACATGGAACGGTCATAATGCTGATCTCCTTAAACCTCTCCCTAAGAGATTCGCGACGACCTAGGTTGTAGATAGCTCTGACGGTGCGATTTTGTAAGATAAAGATAGACTCCAATGTCATCTGCGTGTCCCCACAGCAGAATGCCATACGACATAATGTTATGAAAGTAACTGAAGTACACTAGTCTTGCCGTGCCTATGTCGGTCAACTGTCGGATCTTCCAGACAGCATAAGCTGCAGAGCTCAATCGTCCCGCTAAAGATGAAATATGAATAATAAAATAATAATAAAACGATATGTGGTTCATTTTTAAATAAATGGGGTAAGTCATTTATGTATGTTAAAAATAAGAATGGACCCAGTATCGAGCTCTGCGGTACACCCATAGATATGCTAGCACCCTGTGAGTTTATTTTGTTTATTTGTACTTTGAGTTGCCTGTTCTGAAGATATGATTTTAATAGATTTAGCGATACTCCTCGAATGCCATAGTGTTCCAGTTTTAGCAACAATGTCTCATGCTCAACACAGTCAAATGCCATCGATAGATCACAAAATATGCCAATGGCATCATGTGTCTCTTCCCACGAAGAGAAATCCGCTTAATTAGCGCTACTCCCGTGTCCGTAGTTCAGCGACCTTTGGTGAACACGTAATAGCTAGTTAATAAATAAAGTGAGTTCCTAATATAATTAGATTAAAATTGTTTAACGGGCCTCTGCGAGTATGGCTTCGGACCTTCGTACGCCAAAGGTCCGGAACCCTGTGGTCCCCTGAAAACAAAAGAACAAATTAATATAAAAATAATAAGTATAGTACACCAATATAATTAATACCTAATAAATTAATCATGCGAACAAAAGGTGATTTCTTAGTTTCTTATAGACAACCTTTAGATATAAATATGGATTTTAATTTATAAAAATGACTGATAAAGGATAGGAAATTTATATCAGGTACCTGCTGTACCTACAAGGTGACAATCATTACTGATAGCTAGGTCCGGGCACAGAATAAAAGTACCTAGTACCTACATATAGGTAGTGGACTGGGAAGTCTAGAAAAAATTTAGTGTTTATAAAACGTGTTCAGTGCTTGAGTTTTACACCTGCTAGCATTATATTATACTTCAATATCTACGTTTTCCGTTTTATAGCTTTCGACACAGATGCCCATTTGTTTATCAATTAGCTACAGATTCATTGATCGATGGTGCAGAAGTAGTTAGTAGTAAGAGAACATAGGACCTATTACTTGCGTAGTAAGTTTATTTTTGAGTGCGTGTACCTATTTCACTGATCGCTATTAGAAATATTATAAACAAAACAAAATTAAGAGCACTCGAAGGTCACTTAGCTATATTGATTAACCACAAGACCATGATTTACCAACTCCAAATGTAGTTATAGTTACATAATTATTAGGCAACAACTTATTATTCACAATTTAAAGTCACAGCCTGAATGGTACACCGTGACTTTTTGTTCGCCTTACAAACTCGGCCAAATAAATGTATCCATTGACTAGTACCTACACGTTAAAAATAAACATCCGTAGTAATAATAAATTATTTCAATCATTTATTAATAAAAATATTATTAATTATAACTATGACACAAGGCGTAGTTAGAAGCACATTAAACTGTCAAACACCAAGCGGTCACCGGTGACCGCAACCTATTGTTCTATAATTGTGTCTACAAAACCGGTACTCGACGAGTTAATTTGTCTCATAAAAAGGAAAGATAAAATTATTTACCTACTTGACTCGTGCGCTGGGTAGGCAGAATGTTGTACCGTGTGTTTGACACGTAACATTTTTTTTAATGTTTCACATACTCGTATAGCCAATTTATTAATTCATTTTTCTTCATATCGTAATGGCACTAACTAATAAACAAGGACCCAGTGATCGACACATTTTTTTTTTGTAATTAATTAAAATAATGTGGAAACTAGATTTATTAAAATTTGGTTAGGTATATAGAACTGCTCATTGCCAGAGTGGTTGCAAGTGCGATTACCGGGCATGGGGTCTCGGGTTCAATTCCCGGGTCGGGCACAGTATTACTGAGATTTAATAAAATCACATTAGTAGCACGGAGCCTGGAAATGTGCCCGGTATATGGCAACCCTCTATTACATGGCAGTCATAACATAAATAGTGAAAAGTGGATGTTACATTGTATAGTTGCCTTAAGTGCCGTAATGTGCATCTCTGCCTAACCCTTAGGGGATAGAAGGCGTGATGTTATTTGTCAGTTACATAGTATCATACAGTAACCCTTCCAGTTTTTCCTTTAATCAGTAAGTGGAAAGTAAAAATTTGCAAGATCTTTCTCGTATTACAGACAGACATCCGAACGAACAAACATCGGGTCAGGTGAAACTAAACAAAAGGTATGTTTTTTTATCCTGTACTAGCGACCCGCCCGGCTCTCTCTATTTAAAGAAAACCGCATCAAAATTCGTTGCGAAGTGTTAAAGATCTAAGCATACATAGGGACAGACAGACGGCGGATAGCGACTTTGTTTTATGTAGTGATAATGATTTTCGAGCACAAAGTTTCACATACAATAAACAACCACATCAACAATTTGTAGATCACACAAAGAATAGTTCCATGTGGGAAGCAAACCTGTGGGATGTTACACAACAGTCTATTTCCCAGCCACTGCATCAACCTTGCAGTATAATTTAATATATTAATATTGTTTATTAGACAAGTAGGTATGAAATGAATTAAAATGAAATGGAATGGAGTGGAATGAAATGTAATGAAATAAAATAAACGTAATTTATTTCTAAAAATAGGCTACAAAGAAACACTTTTACACGTCAGTAAATGATATGATCCCTCGCGGTTGCTCGACTCCTATCATCATCATAGCGTGAAGTTCGAGAAGCGTCTGACACATTTATGTGGACCTCTTACTTGTAAGACGAATCAAATTATACCTATATGTATTTCTATATTTAACACCTGTAAATTGTACCAATGGGTAATATTTATTATAGCTACTTCCGCGCGGCTTCACACGCTCTGCTCAGCTCTTATTGGTGTTTGATGTTTTATAGCCTATAGCCATCCTCGATAAATGCGCTATCCTTCATAAAAAGGATTATTCAAATCAGACTTGTAGTTACGGAAATTAGCGCTTTAAACAAACGAACAAAAAAACAAACTCTTCCACTTTATAATTATAATAGTATAAGATTATGTAGGTAGGATTGTAGATATAGATGTATTTATTCATGTGACAAAACAATTCCACTAGGTATTGGAAATCGTTAGTATTGTCGTTGCCTTGTTCATTATTTATTGTATTCCACATAAAAGCATAGAACGAAAACAAAACACCTCCACCAGCCGAGCTGAACCT